ATATCTGTACCATATGGAGTTTTAAAAAGAAAACCCAACACAATTAGTTTTAACATTCCTCTTTTGAACACTTTTAAACAAAAGATATGTTTCCATGATCGGGGCATCTTTTAAGTAACTGTACATCATCTTCTGCAGCAAGGCATGAATTAGTATAATAACTTCACATATTGCTCATTAATAATCTTGTCAACCAGAACTGGTCTCTTTGTTACTTCATACAATGAGTAACTGTTTTGTCATTTTACTGTTGTATATAGCCTAAAACCTTTAAAACTAATTGCTTGCAATTGCCCTGAGGGAAGACAAATCTTGAAATTGATTTTTTTTAAAATAATGAATGTTTCAGATCAGTTCAAAGTTGAAAACTCACTCCATCAAAGTGCAATTTCTAAAACACACTGAAAAAAAGTCCTTATTTAAAGGTATATATATGACATATTGTTGATAAATTCAGTTCATCAAAATTTAAAAAATCTTTCTATTTATTTCATTACTTTATATAAAGATAGGACTTTTCTGTAAATTACACAATTTGAAGCAATCCTGTTTCAAAGATATCAAAAATTTAAAACAATAACTGATTTATTTACCCGAATACCGACTCAACAAAAATAATACAGATTTGAATAGCAAAGTTGCAACTTAATTCAACTATAGAAACATTAGGTTATCTGACTTCAAAATCATTAACTTCTACATACATAACATATATCTTATCTACACTCAATTTCGTATCATTATTTTTCTAGTTCAGATACACCAAACATAGCTTTAAGAAATAAGTATCAGTAGCTAAATAAAGTTTATTTGAGTAATAAAGCTACATAGATAATCCAAGCTACATAACTAAATGTAATGATCGTACCGGAGCTAGTTATTACATAATTCAAAATTCATGCTTTCTCTCTTCACTTTAGAATTTTTCTACACATATTTCATATTTCTGTTGCACTTACAATTAGTTTGAAATTGGGCTTAATGTTTTGCTACCCAATGGGAAAGTAAACACTAGAGAATGAATGCCCCAAACCACTAGATTTTTATACATAGATCAGTTATACACAATTTAAAAGTAATTAATTGACACAACCGTAATTGGCCTTTCATTCAAAACAATAACAATAATCGGTTTAAATAGTTTTATTCATATCGATTTAAAAACTCAGACAAGACATATGAATCTGATCGAAATCATTTTTCACTTACATCGGCAGAGTCCCCATCTCTCTTCGCACTTCAAAATGGCGCGATGTGATTGAAGACAAACAATAACAATGCTTATGCATGAAAACACTTTCAAATACTTACGCTGTCTATTAAATAGTGATGCAAAAGTCTCTTCCTTATTATTTCCTGATTCTACCAAATCAAATTGTACAATAGATACTGAAATATTTCAGTGCGAACAATGAAGTCGTAACAGCCGTTACAGTGTACCTCCAATGCAGTCAACGTAAACAAAGAATGACGTCTGCTTTGAGTGTGGGTAAATATAGTACGACTGAAAAGAGTGTGACTAAATTGGGTAGTAAAACCCGGACCGGGCCGGGAATTTCGAAACTGAAGACCGGGTTTTTGTCAATTACTAAAAAAAATACTTATTTATTCTTCATGAAAATTACGGACATAATTCATAATAACAAAATTTGCCTTCGCTGACAGTTTAACGCTAAATATTTTGTTTTTCAATAAATATCACTGATTGTCAATTTTTTGCTGAACACCGCCGGAAAGGCCGGATTTCGCACTCCTAACGTTATATAAGTCCAAATTTCAATTGTTTTCAATACTTTTATATGATATTTGTAAGGTTGATTAGAGTTTTTTTTTTTCAAAGTGTTAATATATTTATTATAATTTGATTTTAAAATAGATATAATATATATGTATGTCTCATAATTTATTTTGTTTTCATAATAAGTGCATTCGACAAACCTAGGCTGATTTCGTCATCTTCATAAAATGGGTGAACACAAAATGAGATGTTAGAAGAGATACGAATCAGCCAAGCTGTCCCGGGTGATTTTAGTGTAGCCTCGATCATTCAGACGGTTGTCTTTGTAAGAGATGGCCTCGCTGAAAAACTGTTAACGACTTACAATTCACAATCTATTTGCACCATGTCCGAACTTTTTTTCCCACGGCGGTTAAATTTTACATTTTGTTTCTGGGATTTTTTTCGGTTTGAATTCTGCTTTATTTCCACCGATTAAAAAAAAAATTCATGGTATTATTATGTTCCTCAAACGAAGTCTGAGAAATTTTTTGTTTTTCTTTACTCCGTAACTTTAATTTTTGTCCGCCAGTATTCCAATTTTAGGTGGAACTAAAAGGAGGGGGGGGGGGGGTAGTTAGAATAATCTAACTGTGTCTCGGGACAAGCCCTCAACACAGCTAGAATACGTCCCATATATGTACTGTCTTCCAATGTAGCAAAAAATTGTAGAATCGCTCGATTTTCAAGAATGCTAAAGGATTTGCACTGAAAATAACTCCAAAATTAATTATAACAAACCTTTTTGAGGTTGTGTATGCCTTTTAACCTAAAAAATAATCCATATAAAGACGAAAATCCAACTTATTTTCTCAACGTTTAATTCTCGCTTCAAATTTACACGCCATGTTGACATTCGGAACTCGATCTCTGGATTGTTCATAGAGTATGCACTGAGTTAGAGTTATCTCCCGTTTTTTCTTTGCTACATTGCCAATACACATATATCGTTAAGGAAGCTCTAAACATTAACATAAAATGTTTTTTTTGACTTTGACAAAATTTCATCTAAAGATGTACATATTGAATTTTTCTACTTCATTTTCAACATAGGGTACCTGCCATATTTCTCCAAGAAAAATGTTCAAAGACAATGAAGTATTATTGAACTGAAATCACCTCTGTTTACTTGAATTGGGAAAGTACTTTAAAAAATGTTTTCAATTACTTTATCTTGGTCTGATATAATACTGACAATGCTTTAATCTATTTTAAATAGTGACATTTACTGTAAAGTTCTATGTATTCCATTTTACATCAAAGAGCAGATCACTCTAACCACATAAAACTACCATGGAATTTGAACTCTCTAGTGAACAGTGTTTAGAGCTTCCTTAAACCGGGTCCGTAGGACATTTACATTTTAGAACATTCTATCTGGGGAGGGGGTAATTCAGCGAAAAAAAATGTAGATTCACATTCTGTAGACGGTAATTTTCCTTCTTTTTTTTTTATATTTATTTATTTATTTTTTTTTTTTATTTTTATTTTTTTGATGATATGCTTTGAACTTAAGCTTCGCTCTGATAAGCTGAAACAAAAATCTCAAAAACTTTTTAAAAATACTTTAGAGTATATTATGAGGTTCTATGATATGATATAACGTGCGTATGTATGTGTTCTGCAATTTAATTAGCTGAACTTTTAAATGACTAATTTTTTCAATTTTGAACTGAGTAGGCCAAGATTTAAAACGTAGATCTATAAGTAAAGTACAGTGTATGTCCTTACATTGCGATACTTTCAAAACCAACTGCAAAGGCAAGAGTGCTGAATTCTAAATATTTTGTGCAGGCGATTTCACGAAAACTATTCAGCAGTTTTCAATGAAGCTTTCACAAAATATGAGTCATAATATGAACTTTGTTCATCACAAGATATTTCTTTCTTCTTAATCATATCAAGAAGCTAGTTATATACACAAGCTTTATACATTAGCCTTTACGTACCCTAGGATTATTAGAGAAGAAAGAAATTAGGAAAGTAGAGAAATTGAGTAATATATACCTTTAACAAGATCAAACATAGAAGTTTATACAATTTAATTTCTTTTCGTTAGCATAAGTGAACTATTTTATGTGTAGAGTGTTCGATATGTTTTCTCTTAAGCGTATTTTTGTATACATATGACGCAGCATTTATTTTAAAAAAAATAAGAAAACACTTCCCGTGGCTTTCAACTTGACATTTCGATATATAGACGACTGGGTATTATCAATTAACAATAGTTGCAATGCAGTTTCAATGGCCGTAGGAACCGGGGAGGGGGAGGCACAGAGGGTGAGGTGGTCCCCCTAATTTTTTTATTTATTTATTTATTTATTTTTTTTTTGCTTGTCAAGAAATTTTTGATATTTGATAGTGCCTCTCCAACTGAAAATAAATGGCTGCACCTCCCCCCCCCCCCAACTGAAATTGCTTCCTACGGCCCTCCTTGCATTCGTATGTCGACTTGATATATCAAAGGGAACTTGAAATAAAACATAACACAGAATAAAGTTGTATAGAATAATATAGGTCTTCATCGTACGTCATGCAATCAAAAGGAAAATGCTCCTTTTGAAATTTCAATTTGTAGCAAATTTCGCATGTCCCTAAGTGCAATCACCATTTCGTATTTTTCTTCATGTCAGTTTCCTTTTTTTCTTTTGATATTCAAAGGGTTGATGCATACTTTTATCAACACTAAATATATAAATCAGTAGCTATACTAGTAATTGACTTTGGACATTTTTTTTTCTTCTTGTGCCAATATAGTTTCTTTGTTCTTAATATAAAATTTTGCTTAAAATTTTATTGGCAATAATCCTTCTGCTGATTCGACACAAAAACCACTATCTAGGAAAAACGGAAACACTCTCGCCTTCTTTCGTTGATGCGATTGCTATACGGTGTCAAATTAACTCGTTCATTATGAAATACGTACAACTTTTTTTCAAGTCATTAAACGACCACATAGAATACATTATTTAAAATTTGGGCGATAAGTTAAATTTGCATTAAATAATTTTATATGCATACCAAAGAAGATAAAATTTTTGCCCACACATAAACTTTGATAAATAATGTTTATGTCACTAGTGCAAAACGACGAGAACCGTAAACGTTTCGCGCGCTTAAATGTCACATGACAAGGACTGGAAGAATCAGACGATAATCAGAAGATCAGACGTACATTCATTCAGAAACAAAGAACTGGTATACATCTACCTACATCCTGTAAATGGCTGAACCGGTCACAAAAAAATCAAGAACAATGGTAAGTCATATAATGACAATTACAGAAAAAAGTAGATCTAAATCTGTATTTGATAAACTGGAGATGATAATGTTAACTACAAACAAGTATATGGTAGTTTCCCAATTATTTGTAAATCGATTTTTCTTCTAAATTTTGAACTGTTTTGTTTTTATAAAACTATTTATCTAAAGGCCTTTAACTACATTTTTCATTTTACCTGAACGAAAGGCTCAAATCAGCTTTTCTCTTTACAATTTGTCCATTGTCAGTCGTCGTCGTAGTTGGCGTCGCCGTCAACTTTTCACAATTTCATCTTTTTTTTCCAGTGGCCCGTTTCACAAAATATCAGAAATTTAATTTCTAGTACATATTTAGAAATACTGATGAGTCTGTTTAAAATTGCTAGCAAAAATATCTTTCTACATACCTTTTAAGAAGATATACAACATTTCCAATTTCATGTAAATTAGAAAGATACGAGCAGAATTAAATTTTGGTCTTAGTCATAAGTTCTTTTGTAGAACAGGTCAGACCAATTTCAATAAATTTAATTGCCTCTGAGATACTTGAGTCAAGATGATTCAAGTTTGTTCATTAATGTGTCACACCCTCTTTCAAGGGGAGATAATTCAAAATATTCTGCAACAAGTATTAGTAACATTATTTACATTATTTAATGGCCTCTTTTAAAAGATGCTTTTCTGCAGATTCACAGCCAGCAAGAAATAAAACTTCATTATGTGGTGTACATTCAAGTTTGTTCTCATAATCATGACCCCTGGGTGTAGGACAGGGCCACAATCAAATGCAGATCTAAGAAGTTTGATTTTAATTAGATTGAACAGGGCCACAACAGGAAATGAATATTGTACACAGGAATATATAAAAAATATATTTTTAAAAAATTCATGATTAGCAAAGCCATGTTTACAGTTTAAATGATAACCCCCGAGGTAACTGGGGGGCCAACATAGGATTAAAAGTACATATAGGAAGATGTAAGGAAAATCTTTCAAAATCTTCTCAAGAACAGGAAACCTTATGATCATGCAGTCATATCATTCTGTTCAAATCATGACTTTAAGGAGATGAAAAAAAAATTTACATTAGAATATACATGTATAGGAAGAATATTTTCCTCAAAAGTAACAAGGCCATGATTTGTAACTCATGTTGATCTGGAAGTAATCTGAGTCTAGATTCAAGCTTATTAATATTATGATCCCCTGAAAAAGTGTGGAATACAAAAATACAAAAAAAAATTTCAAAGCAGCTGTAATTAGTCATTTAAATATATGGAAACATCTTCAATTAGTCTTGACCCATACAAAACAGTACGGGTAGCTTAGATACGACACAGGCACGGATTCTGATTCTAGAAAACCATGACTGTAGTTTGATTTCCTGCTCCTATGTAAAATATGTGTGGAAAGCCATGGAAAAATGTGGTCAAGACACAGACAAGGCATGGGATATTCATTATTGGTTGAATTATTTAGATCACATCAGACAGTTTTACAAAATCCATGCCAGGAAGGTATCCTTATATGGAATCACGCATTCTGTAAACCCTTGTCAGAAACCCGTGTCATTTTCCAAATATGGAGACATGGATTTTTGGAAACACAACTCAAAAAAAAACCTACGAGATATATATGGAGTCATAGAATCTGTGCTTTCATGTAGATCTAGGTCAGAACCTTCACAGAATATCATGATGTATGTGACTGTGGATGCCAACATAGAGGCTGAAACCAAACTTCACAATGCTTCACTGTTCACATGATTATTATGCTTATAGTTTCAGAATTTTTAAAAAGTTACGATTCTTACATGATTGTGTCCCATTCACTTTCTTAAATCTTTTAAAGATTTACTTGGCATTGGGCCAGGGGTTCTGGTGCTAGGGCAGGGATATATAGATCATATAGTAAAAGTGCATTATTTCTTTGAATGTCTTCTTCTCTACTCCTGGGTATTATTGAAACAAATTAAATACATAGTTATGATACACAAGACTGAATCAACCAAAATTGTGAAATTCATGGCCCCATGCCAGGGACAGGGCTTCTGGTGCTAGGGTGGGGCTATATGGATCCTATAATGAAGGTGAATTATTTCTTTGAAAATCTTCTTCTCTGCCTCTGGGTATTATTATATAAACAAACTAAGTACATTGTTATCATACGCAAGGATGCCTCTTCCAAAATTGTGAATTTCATGGCCCCAGGGTTAAGGGTTCTGGTGAAAAGGTGGGAGGCTCTATTGATTATATAGTGGAAAAGCAAAATTTCTTTCAAAATATTCTTTTCTGCTTCTGGTTAAAAAGCAAAGAAGCTAAGAAGATAGTTATGATGAGCAAGAGTCCTTCTTCCAGAGTAGTGAATTGCATGACCCCTGGGTCAGATATGCTGGTGTAAAGGTGGGGCTTTTGATAATATAGTGAAAATGCATTAATTCTATTAAATTATGATCCTGTCTGCTCCTTAGTGTTTAGCAGATAAACAAAGTGATTACTTATGATGAGCAAACTTCTGGTCCAAGGGTGAGAGGCTCTGGTGTTTCTCGTTGGGGAGGGGGGGGGGGACTTTACTGATAATATAGTACATCTGTAGTAAAAATGCATTATTTCTTTAAAAAATCTTTTCTGCACCTGGGCATATCAGAGGCAAAAAGAGTAAAAATTTTAATAAGGAAGGCTATTTTTACCTGATTTTTAAACATTTGGACCATTTGGTTAAGTGTTCTGGTCTTGGCCAGGGCTCTTAATTTGTATTCTACTGAGAGAAGTTATTCCCCTTTGCCATTTACTTTTCATAATTAATCACTGTAAATAATGTACTTGAAAGGTTAATAGAATAAGAGAATTATACAAGAATTCTTATTGTATAATACAAAAAGTACTTTCATAGTTTTAATGATCAAGTAGACTTGTAACTAATATATAAATAAAAATGAGACAAAAATAACTTGTCTTTAATATTAAATGTTCATCAAAGACCAAGAGAGGCCAATATAAGAGATTTCAACAAGAAATTAAAATAGTACAGAAGCACTGATAGTTTGTTAATATACTGTATGGTGAGAGTAATAAATGGGGAACAGATTAGAACCTAATTTATGAACTTATAGTTAATAAATACTAAACTAATTATCTTGTTGATCCTAATCACCCCATTTTTCTTGCTTTTGAGCAACAAAGCTTCACCTTTCAGTTCATTTTATACTGTATGGATCCTCTAAATTGTTGTATTATACTCAGGTGACCGTTAAGGCCCTTGAGCCTCTTGTTTTACTAACTCATCAGTCACATGAGATATAACTACCATATGTTAAGAAGAACAATCTTTCTGTCCCACCAGGTACCTATATACTTGGTATATAAGTCCCTGGTCCCATAGAACCTGTTTCACCTGGTTGTTGTCAATGTAGCAACATTTACAAGGGAGATAACTCATTTCTCTGCATTTTTCATACATGTATAAGAAAAATTCTAAAGAGTTCCAATGTCAAAATGACAACTAAGTTTGCTGCGAGTTAAAAAAAAAAAATTGTGAATAGTGAATTTAAATTGTCAGTGTTTTTTTCGGTACTTTGGGACTGGGGGCTGGGGCCCTCAGAATTGGGGAATTTCAGCGTCAATTAGGCTAAATTGGGAATCTCCCAGAAAACCCAGTCACTTAAAAAGCATTGTCAAAAAGCTTTGTTTTTGTCTTTGTATTACTTTAACAAACAATTGTTATAATAAATCAAGATTATTCTTGGTATGAATTATCTAATTACTTGCATCAAGAACAATAGTGGTATGAATTATCTAATTATGATGAAATATCCAACATGGATGAACAACGAAACCTGCTTGAACTTCACTGCAATAAACAAACTGAATTTGATCAAATATTTTGTAAGTTTTTCTTTGGGAAAACTTCCACTACATTTTGAGAAAATACAGGCATATTTTCAATTGGGAGTGCCGCCGAATTTCGGCCCCAACAGCCCAAATCGGCCCTCAAAAAATCACTGATTGTGGTCTTTACATGTTATAGTTTTTTGGATAATATGGATAATAGGACATCTACAAGCATAGAAGGTTTGTTATGAATTTTGAACTTTTTTCAAACTAATTACATCTGGAATTCTGGAGTGAATCTGCTCCAATTTCCTGCATGGAACTATTAATAGAATGTAGTATAACTTGTCCAAGGACACAGTTAGATTATTCTAACCAACCAACACATGCTTCTTTTTTACAATGTGCCATTTAAGCTATCCACGGTACAATAATCAACATTAGGGAAATAAAGTTAAGGACATACGCAACGTACCTTACCTACTGATAATTTTTCAAGATATTCTTAATTTAAGATTATAGTGCCATCAGATGTTCGTCGACAAAAAATCAGCATGCATTACCAGGGGTTTTGAAAAGATATCCATTGATGAAAATTCTTGTATAATTCAAAGAAAAATACACAATAATTACTAAACACATGTTCTAGATGTTTTGTTTATCCAAACTTGTTTTAGAAGAAGTGTACAACAGCATATATAGACATACAAATGTGGCACACAATTCCTTTAAGTATTGGAACTCTTCAACTCCAGGGAAGAAGACAATAAAGTTCAAACTACATTGCGTATGTCCTTAACTGTTATATTTTAAATTTACATTTTGTATGACCCGTTGTCCTTTTCATTACTTAGTGCTTTATATATACATACTAGTCTATTTAGTAGCTCATCAAAATACAATCTGCATGTTTTAAAAAATCTTCTTCTCAACAACCACTGGACCAAAAAATTTGAAACTTTCAGGAAAGCATCTTTACATAGTGTAGATTCAAGTTTGTTCAAATGATGACCCCTGGGGGTAGGGTGGGACCACAATGGGGGATCAAAGTTTTACATAGGAATATGTAGGCAAAAAACTTGTAGAATCTTCTTCTCAAGAACAACAAAACCATGATTAATCATAATGATATGGAAGCATCCTCAGGTAGTGTTGATTCATGTTTTCTTCAAATCATGACCCCCGGGGGTAGGCTCGTGTCACAATTGGGGATCAAAGTTTTACATAGGAATATAGAGGCAAAAAGCTTGTAAAATCTTCTTCTCAAGAACAATAAAGCCATGATTAATCATAATGATATGGAAGCATCCTCAGGTAGTGTTGATTCATGTTTTTTTCAAATCATTACCCCCAGGGGTAGGGTGGTGTCACAATGGGGGATAAAAGTTTTACATAGGAATATAGAGGCAAAAAACTTATAAAAAATCTTCTTTTCAAGAACAACAAAGCCATCATATTGATATGGAAGCATCCTCAGGTAGTTTAGATTCAAGTTTGTTCAAGTCATGACCCCCCCCCCCCCCCCCGTGAGGGGGGGGGGGGTAGGCTGGGGTCACAATGGGGTATCAAAGTTTTACATAGAAATATATAGGAAAAAATCTTTAAAGATATTCTCAAGAACAGCAAAGCCTTGTTTAGTCTTATTGATATGGAAGCATCCTCAAGCAGTGTAGATTCAAGTTTGTTCCCTGATATAGGGAAGGGCCACAAAGGAGGGTCAAATATTTACAAAGGAATAAATAGGAAAATACAGCCCCAATTATAGACAATCAAGACAACATGATTACTATAATATGTTTCCATTACAGAGCGTAAATGGAGCAATGCAGAAAATTTATCTAATGGAAAACACCGACATCAGGACAAATGCCAGTGGGAAGACCTATGGTGTTACAGGAGTGCTTGCGAAATCAACAAACTACTCTCAAATTCATGAATTGTTTCTTCCAGAAAAATTTATCCACAAATTCCAAAGCTCCATAAAGAAGTCAGTATTAATAAGAAAGTTTAGCCAAAAAGAAGATGGACTGATATCTCTTTCTGATTCCTCTACAGTAAGAAAATAAAGAATTTAAACAAAAATATAATCATTTTAATGACATAATCATTTTAATGACAGTCATGTATTTTCTTTATTAATGAATGGAGATGTTAAATTGTAATTCTCCATTCATTAATATAAAGATATCAATGTCAATTAAATGATGCATTATTTTATCAACAATATATACTAGATATTTCCCTCAATGTTATATTTCATTTTTAGCTCACCTAAGCTGATAGCTCAAGTGAGCTTTTCTGATCAAATTTTGTCTGTAGTCCGTCTGTCTAGCTCTCTGTCTGTCCGTCCGTCTGTAAACTTTTCACATTTCCAACTTCTTCTTCAGAACCACTGGGCCAATTTCAACCAAACTTGCCACAAAGCATCCTTGGGTGAAAGGGATTCAAGTTTGTTCAAATGAAGGACCATGCCCTCATTCAAGGGCAGATAATTCAGAAATAGTGAAAATTTGGTGACATATTTTAAAAATCTTTTTCTCAAGAACCATTGGCCCAAAAAAGTTGAATCTTATAGGAAACCTCTGTTATATAGTGTAGATTCAAGTTTGTTCAAATCAGGCCCCCTGGGGGTAGGGTGGAGTCACAATGGGGGATCAAAGTTTTACATAGAAATATATAGAAAAAAATCTTTAAAAATCTTCTTCTCCAGAAAAGCAAAGCCATGATTTGTAATATTTATATGTTAGCATCCTCAGGTAGTGTTGAGACAAGTTTGTTCAAATCATGACCCCTGGGGGTAGGGTGGGGTCACAATTGGAGATCACAGTTTTACATAGGAATATAAAGGAAAAGAAATTTGTCTCAAGAACAGCAAAGTCATATTTAGTCATATTGATATGGAAGCATCTTCAGGTAGTGTAGATAAAAGTTTGTTCAAATGATTACTCCTGGGGGTAGGGAGGAGCCACAATGGAGTATCAAATTTTTACCAAAAAATATATAGCAAAAAATCTTTAAAAATCTGCTGCTCAAGAATAACAAAGCCATTTGTTATATTGATATGCAAGCATCCTCAGGTAGTTAAAAATTCCCCCCCCCCCCATTTTAACTTTTCAATACTGATTTGATTTGTGCTTTTTCCTAGCCATCATGCTCAGATGAGCGATGTGGCCCATAGTTCTCTTGTTAATGCTGTTTCTTGATAAATAAATAGTTTTTTGTTTAATTATGTACACACTACAACATTCTCAAAAAAAGAGTACATTCATTTTTATATATTCCATATCAATATCTTTCATTTATTTTGCTATTAAATCATAAAACAGATAATGGATACAACAGATGATGTGAGTCAAGAGGAAATTGATAAGTTCGTTAACCCTGACATTCTAGATATCGCAACAATAAAAACCAAAAAAAGAAATGAGAGGGTTTCCCTACAAGGAATTGTGCAAAAGGTATTTAATTAAGTAAAATTATAATGAAATTAGTCAGTTTTATTTTCAAAAGTCTCAAAACTTAAAAAACAAAACAGGAAACATAAAAAAGCAATCTGTACTAATATCAACAGCTTACACCAAATACAAAGTGACTGAATGTTTGTAACTCTTATTCATAATTTATATAGATATAGCATGCAGAAATATTTCAATTTTTAGCTCACCTGAGGAGAAGGCACAAGTGAGCTTTTCTGATCACATTTTGTCTAGCATCCATCTGACATTAAACTTTTAACATTTTCAACTTCATCTCAACAACCACTAGACCAATTTCAAACAAACTTGCTCCAAAGTATCTTTGGGTGAAGGGAATTCAAGTCCAAATGAAGGGCCACATCCTCTTTCAAGGGCAGATAATTAGGAATTCATGAAAAATAAATAGCATCTTATAAAGGAAAAATCTTTAAAAATATTCTCCAGAACAACAAAGCTATGATAGATCATATTTATATGGGAACATCCTAAGGTAATGTATATTCAGATTTGTTTAAATCATTACTCCCCGGGGGTAGACTTTGGCCATACTGGACAATCAAATTTTTACATAGGAATATATATATATATATATATATATATATATATATATATATATATATATATATATATATATATATATATATTCCTATGTAAAAATTTATATATATATATATAGGGAAAAAAACTTTAAAAATCTTCTTCTCAAAAAAAAAAAAAAAATAATAGGTCATATTTATATGGACCTTTCCTCGGATAGTATACATTCAGATTTGTTCAAATCATGACCCCCGGGGGTAAGGTGATGCCACAATGACCTACATTTTCCGGATGATTGACCAGGTTAAAGCATTTTCTGGATGAGTGACTAGTTTAAAGTTTTTAGATAAGTCAATTCCCAAGCAGCAAGCCATATCAGACCAAAATTGCATAAATGTTGCATCTAGGGATGCACACTACTAGATTATTAGTTTAGTGTGGGACTTTGCCTTACTTAAAGACAACATTCGTTGAGGTGAGTTCTGTAATCTCTGATTACCTATGTTTGTCTTTCCTAGCCACAGTGCTCAGGGGAGCAATATATGGGCTTCTTGTTCTGGTAAAAATTCAGCTAGTTCACAATTTGAACTCCACCACCACAACCTCAATTTTAACCAAACTTGCCAAGAGGCATTCTTAGATTAAGTGCATTCAAGTTTGATCAAATAAATGACCACACCCTGTCTCAAGGGAGATAATTAAGAATGGGTGAAAATTTAAAGTATCTTTTGAAGTACTCTTGCACCAGGAAAGATAAAACATATTCGAAAGCTTAATTACATAGTGTACATATTTATTTTCTCAATTAAGTGTACATATCTATTTGTTCAATTAATCATGAATCTTGAAATGGGGCAGCATACAAAAGGAAATTAAAATTTTACTTATCAACAAAACTTTACATAGAAATTTATTGAAAGAAAATTGTATGAACATAAAAGCCATGTCTTATAAGTCAAAACTTAAGTTTGTTCGAATCAGGGAACTGGAAATAGGATAGGATGGACACAGTATATGATCAAAGTTTTATTTGGGAAGTGTTTCATTATTTTACAATGTGAGGATAAGTATTTATCACAAATGTTTTCCTCCTCTATACAGTCAACAAGACTCATTGAAACGACGCAATCATGCAGAAAGATTGTCACTCTAAATGATGCCTCAGGAGAGATAGAAGTCAAATTCTGGGGAAACAAAACGTCTCTAAGTCCTTTTGAAGAGGGAACACATCTTACAGTCACAGCAGTCAAAGTAGATTATTATGCAGGGCGCTGCTCATTAAATTCAACACCATCAACAGCAGTTCAGGTATTAAATTGATCAAAATATTACTAAACTTGCACTGATACATTAATTATGTTTATTGATTAATTATTCACTATTCAGTTATCATATCCCTTTCCTAAATTTTTTTTTACTTATTTCAAATTTTTAACAACAGAAATTTGAAAAAAAAATATTTTATTTCTAAACAAATTTTAAAAAACATAGTTAAGGCCAAAAAAAAAAAATTGTGTGTGTTTCCTATTACATTGAATTTTTAAATAGGGTAGGTAGGTAGGTTGTTTTTTGTTTTTTTTCTTTAAACAATGGTAAGGATTGAAGATTAAATATCTATTGAACATTATGAACTTGAACATGAGGAATGAAAAATAGCTAGGTTTAATCAAGGTCTAACCTAGGCCTAAAATTTAGGGACTCTTCATCCCTCCTTTAATGCAAATTAGGGAGAAGTTTTAAAAATAAAGGGTGGCTTGATACAGCTATGATTAACTACTTTTACTTCCCCCCATTTTAAAACATTAAAAAAATCAGAAATTATTAATCAATATGAATTTGAATTAGTAAATAAATTTTCATTCAAACTACCTAAAGAAAAAATCAATATGCAGCAAACCGTAATTGTGGTTCAACGTTTTTTAGATTTAATTATTACCCAAAAAAAGTTGGGCAGACTTTTTCCTTCTGAAAAGTAATTGTTTTCTTAAATATTTTTGATTGGTAACAAATGAATAATATATATTTCCCTTACTAGGCATATGTTATTAAATCACATCACTTTGTTGCATAATACACCCATATCGGTCAAGTTATTAATATAATGATTTAATGACATTTTTTGTTTGTTTACTGATATTACCGTAGTATGACCCATATCTATTTACGTCCGTGATACATGTATAAACAGTAAGCTCTTTGACAATGTTGTGATATCTGTATTTCTTTTCAGTATAGCATTTATGTGTCTTAAATGGCATGAAAATAACTTAATACTTTATTTCAAATCATCGGTCATCATTTAATAGATACTAGATGTATGTTGCATCACTAATTTAATACAATCCCATGTTGATTCTTACTGACATTTTCAGGCTTGCTTAGCAGTGAAAACGGCTTTACAGGAGACAATTCGTTACATTTTCCTCTATAATTAATTTGAATAGGATATTTTCATGATTATAATAATGATATGAAACTGCAATGAACACAGACTTCTTGCAGTCAACAAGTGATTACGATTACGTAAGAGAAAGAGACGGTCATGCAAAACTTGTAATTTTCCAGAAAAAAAATGTAGGGTCGGGAATTTGGCTGAAAAAAAAAAATAGGGTAGGTCGGGTAACCGGAAACAGGCATATTTTTTTTTTGGCCTCACATTCAATGAAAGTATTTCTCCCATCTCTTATAACAAATTTTAACAGTTGAAGGAAGACTTTGATAGTTTACAAGGCGAGATAGAGGCAGCATGTTTTGATGAGTATGTTTATATACTTTCATTTATTTCATCTCTGTCATTTCAGTTAAATATGCTATTTATTTTACATTTTATACAAAATTTCTTATATATCTACAATTTATACTAAGAAATATTTTTAAAAATTACCAGTTTAAGTCTTCTGTGCAGAAGATAAGTAAATTTCTGCTATGTATCTTTATGCCTCAATACTTCATATTTTATGTTCATGGATATAGAAATTCCTTGCTTATTCACCTATTAAAATTTATCTTTCTAAACATAAATTCATTTGATAGGTTCATTGTACAAAAGAATCTTCATTATATAACCACAATTTTTAATGTGTAATGCAAAGAGTATTTTTACCTTTTTAATAGTCCAGAAGATTAGTGCATAACAATAGATTAGAAATAACATAAAGAATCCCATTAATCAGAGTCACTTTTTTCTATTTTTAGTGACAATATGTCCATCATGGTAGGAAACAACATATTCAACATAAGTGACACCCTTATGCGAAGAATTTTTCCAAATCTGAAATTCTGTCCTGGAAAAACACTGATGGCCATTACTTCATCTAATCAAATCACAGACTTGTAAGTGTTTTAATACATGTACATGAAGTTATTCTCAATTCTCTAAAATGCCAAACACATACATATTTTAAATGGTTTAGCTTTTCATCACTATCAACAAGAATTTTTTAATACATCTGAAATTTATTTCAGGGTGGAGGTAAACAATGATCATGAAGATTAAGATGAATACTACCTACCTATCGTTTCAGAAGTAAAACCGCTCCAGAAGAGTGTTTTTTATATTTGGATTATCTACCTGAGTCATTGACCTTTTCAATGACCTTCAACTGTACTATTTATTGTAATTGTATAAAACTCAGTCATAGAGAAACCAGTCATGATATATCCATCAAACCTCTTACACTTATTACTAAGCTGCAGAACTGTAGCATAATGATTTTATATTTTAGTCTTTGACCATAACGTTACAGATCACATGAAGCAAATTTTGTGCAATTTACAGCACAAGACTTCCTATGCAAGGTTACGGAGAATTTCTCCACTTTCCAGCATTGGCCAATCAACTACCTTTCACTCCCTATTTCTCACCCTTTATAGTTGTCTCTACAGACTAATTAACTCATTTCTTTTTGAATTTTTGTCAGATGGCAGAAAATTCAAAACAAGCAAGTTTATTGCGCAGCTATGTTAAGGCTTCCCGAAGCTTTAAAATGCGCTCAAAACATAATATGTCATTGCGAGGTCGGTTTTGGTTTTAATTTATAAGTATAGAACTTTAGTACTTCCAATTTATATGAAGGGTTTCCTCGGCTATATATTAGCATATTTGTTATGATATCACATGACTTTTTTGATCACGTGACGGTCATTTATAGTTTTTGAAGTGTTTCATATAAATCGCTTCGGCGCAACTGATTAACACAATAATTATTAACATTTTGTTATATAAATAAACTCATCGTATCCTTGTGTATCCGAAATGTGTTTGGGAAAAGTCGTAGTATTACTTGGGTACAAAATATTTCTGAGAAATTCAACTAACCTACAAATTTGAGGGTATTTTCCACACAATATCGTAATCTATATTAAAACAAAGCCAACATACATTTTTCCCAAGCAAGATTCAGTTAGAGAAGAACCTCTTCTTACAGATTTCCACAAAAATTCTTAGATTAATCCTCATTAATCACCTGCGCCAGACTCTTTTATACACACAAAATAAATTCTACCTCCAACCACGGGTATAAAACAGAGTACATTTCAAAAGTATATTTTTCATAAGCATTTTGAACATGATGAATTTCAATCAAGGGTAGGTAAGCGGTGTATTTTTAAAATATTCGGACATATAAGACTTAAAAAACCTTTCACGACCCGTGAATTTTGCAATAGCTATCTAGCATTTTACATGCAGTTTGAAATAAAGTGTAAAGTTCATGACACTCTCCCCGTCATAACGCCTCAAGTTTGTAGTGACCTGACGTCATTTTCCATTATGACGTCATACAGTCCCTGAAACGTTCTACTTTCCCACTTGAACGGTGAGCGAACGCTGAACGAACGGTGAACGAACGCTGAACGAACGCAGAGCGAACGGTGAGTGAACGATGTGTGAACGCTGAACGCAACTTGGTGAACGATGTGTGAACGGTGAACGGTGAGCGAACGCAGAACGCGAACGGAGCGCAAACGCGAACGCAAAGTGAACGGTGAACGAACGGTGAACGCAAGATGAACGATATATTCGGAATGCCTCTGATCTTTTCCTTGCATTGACTATTTTATTGTATTATAATGTCAGGTGCCAAAAAAAAAATAAAAATAAATAAGTAAACCAATAAATGAATGAATAAATAAGTAAATAAAATAAATTCTCCAAAATTGTCCTAAGAAAGACGATTCATGCATATTAAGTTTTTAATCATACGATTTTTAACGCATTAAAACATTGCAATTGTTGCCGAACGCTGAAGTATAAAAGATATATAAAAGATATTTTTTTTAGTTGGAAAATAAAAATGTTTATTCTTATTTGATAACAAATCAGAGAAAACTTCTGACTTACAGAATGAATTAAAGCTATTGTAACATCCATTCATATATCTCCGTGTCAAGGCGATTTCATGTAAAGTAATGAAAAAAATTAATTACAAAGGTCAGTGGACGTTTTGCATTTATACGCTCGTATTTTAAATTTTTAATACAATAATATATTATGTGTCATTTCTATTTTTCATGATGATTTATTGAGCAGACTTCTACATGTATCTGTAGATGGCCGTGATTATACTCGGACAAGAAAATACAAAGATACATATTCATTTTATTTGTTATAAATTCAATTTTCAGAACTTGATATTTAAGTAATATGCTGTTATAATTTTTATTAAACAGACAAATGAGAGAGAGAGAGAGAGAGAGAGAGAGAGAGAGAGAGAGAGGGAGGGAGGGAGATTCCGTTTTAGCCCCCCCCCTTCCTTTCAGGCTTCACTAAATGTTTGTACCTATATCAAACAATAACTCTGAAATTTTTTCTAAATATATTAGACAATGAAAGTAACTTTTTTTTTTAATGAACAAATCATATCCATCTGTTTGACAGTATTACTCGTTTTTATTTTCCTGCTTCAAGTTCACACGAAGTCCACGTGCTTGTCCTGTCAATCAAAATCATTCGACCCTGTGCAGGTGTGAAAGTTTCGTCACATCGAAGACGAAGTGCGAGTATTTCCAACAAGTTATAACATTTATTTTTATCATTTCTAGATTTGATACCAACATTTGAATAATAAATGAATAAAATATATTGGGCATTAACACTTGAATTTGAAACATACTCTCTGCCAATTTCAAATACCACCGCCGACACTTGTACATTGTGAACTACTATTGTTTTGTGACTTTTTTAGATGCATGTTTGTTTTGAGACTGAAATTTTTGTTCTAAAAAAGACCTTAACGTTTTTTTAACAGGTTAATTAAAATTTTCTGGAAATACAGTACTGACTAAGTAACCGATTTAGGGAAAAAAAAAGGGGGGGTTAATCATATCGAATGGCAAACATATAAAGTTACGGTGAAGAAAGAATTTTTTTCTCTATAACTATAGACTTTACATACATGTATTATAGTAGCGAAAATTCCAAAGATAATAAATTAACAGGATATCCGCAGTACTATGTATAACTCTCAGAACTAGTTCTATCATATTTTCTGTAGTAATTGAATGAAAAACGCGTTAGAAATAAATATTTTCGTAATTTTGCTGCGTAATTATTGACTTGGATAATTATATCTCCATTAACGATTTGTCGTCTTTAACAAAACAACAAAATTGCCCTTAGTTAAATTTAATATTTCAGCATCGTTCTACATAGGTACAGAATGTGCTTATAACAACATTTATTTTCCAGAGTAATTTAATAAATAACCTAATAGCTAAGTTAGAATAATAAAAATATATATCTTAGATATTTTCCCCCATGAAATAATGATTCTTCAAACACGATATGTTAGTTATTAAATTAAAAAATCTGTAACTCCTTACCTACAAAAAGATAAGTCCTTTCACTTGGGAGTTCCGAATGGCAATGAAAACTGAACGATAGGTGAACGCTGAACGCAAGGTGAACGCAAGGTGAACGGAACGAAGAGCGAACGCTGAACGCTTTGTGAACGGTGAACGCGAGCGCACGGTGAACGGTGAACGCAAAACTGTGAACGGAGAGCGAACGGTGAACGCACGCTGAACGAACGGTGAACGCACGCTGAACGAACGGTGAACGAACGGTGAGCGAACGGAAAAATGGGAAAGTAGAACGTTTCAGGGACTGTATTTTGGTAGTTAAGAGATGTGAAGGCACAGAGTACACTGTCATATTCTACGGGAAGCCTTAACCTACCTGCGTGGTCTGCAGAGACAATTGTAAATGGTTAGGACGTGGAAAAAAAAGTACAATTTGGGACTGAAAAATATTTGATTAACCAATGCTGAAAAATGAAGAGATTCTCCCCAGCCATGCACTGAAAATCTTCTGCTGTATATTGCACAATAATTGCATTATGGGATCTGTAGCATTATGGTCAAAGATCAAATTATAAAACCATAATTCTGCAGTTTTCAGCTTATACAATTATACAAATTTTCGTGTTCCAATCACCACTGAACCCTGAGTGAAGCATTTATGTCCTATGGACTTAATTTATAGTGGTATATTGAACAATCATCTTGTGATATTTAGCAACCAAAACGAAAAAATTTTCCTTAAATTTAAAAAAAAATAATTGCTGAGCTTTTGCCAAAACTGTAAAATTCATAGCTTCTTCAAATTTTTCCTAATATTTTGATAATGCATTGCTTCTAAAAATCTGTACTCATGGACATTTACAATGCAAAATCCATAAAAAAAACATAAAATTTTGAACCTCCCTTTAACATTGTTCAGGTCTTAAAATTAAGTTCATTTTTACACCTTTACTTAAATTACAAAATCATGGCTTAGGTCCTGTTTTCAAGCATTTAAAGGATCGATTAAAAAGTTTATATTGTTTATGATTCCAACTAGACATGCATTGTTCCAATATACTGAAATGGAAAATGTACACTTTTTATCAGAATTTAAATGAATACTTGTGCTATTTAGTTATTTACAACCTTGCTTGAGTTTCTGCATTGTGGCAATATGTTTTACATGTACTTGCAATTATTTTTTAAAATCTCTCCATTTTTTATTGTAGTGTACAATTGTAGAACACCCAGTTATATGGCCATTTTTTGTAACATCATACATGAGTACCCGTATTAATTATGATACCATACTTGTATGTTAATGACTAATCATTGTAACCATCATCAATCTTTTTTTTATAAAGAAACATTCGTTGAGTGTATAATATCTGCATTTTTTTTTTACACACATGTAAATACATGTTTACTCTCAATTTCCTAACTGTTAATCATCACATAAATCATTTGCATATATGTATAAGTTTAATGTCATATTGTATTTTCAATACCCTTAAACATTTTGCATGTCTCTATGAGGCATGATTCATGTTAACAACCCTCTTTACACTTATTCCATGATATGTTTATTTATCCAGTTGGAATAATCTCCCCTTAAATATTAGCCCCCCCCCTTTTTTTGTAAAGATACACAGGCAAGCAGCAACAGGGACAACCCCCCCCCCCCCCCCAAGATTTTCTGCTTTTGACACTTTC